CATATGTGGAAGCTGGCGTGATCATGGAGATCATATGATATATGAACAGACAGCTTGGTATGAACCAGCTTCCATTCTGAAGGCCAGATTTTGCATCATCGAGGATTTGCATCAAAATTACTGAAAGTTCAAAGAATTCACAAAAGAAAGCAGGAAAAAAAGAGGTTTCATAAAACTTTTGCTGCAGATCCTGGATGATGGAAAGATCTGGAAAAGAGATCGGAAAGATGGGACATACGACCCGGGCTGTTCCAACCCAAACATCGGCCTCCTGCTGTACCTGCTGATAACGGTTGGTAACTTTCTTCGGTGGGACTCCAGTTCCGCTCAGCGCTGTGTTGCCAAACGGTGGGAAAGGTTTGTCCGATTTTATATCCGGCACTTTGTTGACTCTTGTGGGTCTGGGTGGAGTCGGTCGGACTGGGGAAGATGTTGCCACTGACTTCGTCGGCGGGGAATCCCTGACGAAGTTATTCCCCCGTTTGCTCACCGGGGGGACTTTGGTCACAGCTTTAACGTCTTTGACGTCTGCCTTGCTTTGGGTTTTTACTTTTGGAGCTTTGGTGGCTGCAGATTTTGTAGGTCCTGGTTTTGATGCTTTGGTGGGTTTAGGTGCCTTGGTGGCTTTGACCACAGTTGTTTGAATTTTTGTTGTAGTCTTGTGGTTGCCATTAGCCTTAGCCCCACCATTGCTGTTACCTTTTGCTTTAACATCGGTGGCCGTTTTGCCGTTTCCATTGGCTTTCTTCTCTGTTGTGACTTTTCCATTGCTGCTAGCCTTCGAGGTAACAGGAGCTTTCTTCTCAGCTACAACCTTACCATTGCCATTTCCATTTACTTTGACCTGAGGTGTTGGTTTGGCTCCAGTTGTAGCTTTTGCATTACCATTTGCTTTCTTCACAGCGCCAGTTTTGCCATTGCCATTCTTCGCTGGGGCAGCTGTGGGCTTAGATTTGGTTGGTTTGATTTTAGACAGGAGGACGTCTGCTGCAGTGGGCTTTGCTTTGGAGGACTTGGAAGCTTTGGTGGG